AAAGTATATTCGCTCACGAGGCACAATTTTTCCAGTGCAAAGCAAGATTGAAATATTTCCACAACTCTTATTTCATTTCTAAAAATCTATTACACGAGATTGTTTTAAATATCTTAAGAGATGTTTAATTTTGAACTGGTTCTAATGAAGCAATTGATCGAATGAATCTCTGTTGATTTAGTTTTATACAATGTACCTTAAAAATGATTACTTTACTTTCGCATTGCTTATAACGTTTTCTAATTCAAGAGGATTTTATGCCCATCAAAAACAGACTTGCAAAAATCAGAAGTGATAAATATAATAATTCATTATTGATAAGAGAATATTCAATAAGGGATTACCTTAATTGTCAAATGAGCTTATAAAACCAACGAATAACTATCGTGAAATTCAGTTTCACTCAGGTCTAAATGAATGTATAATTGCAGGACGTCCCTCTTTCACATAACCCTGTGGATTGCCAAGACTCACGCGCGGCCATTTCGCTTGCGCGTCGATAGTCAGTTTAACGAGCGGATTAATTGAGCAGACAGATTTCCTCAGGAGAGTCCTCGAACGTTCTTCTAACGAGACTTAAATGACGAATCTAAGGAGAGTCAGTTCAAATGAACGATATTAATAGCAAATTCGAGATTTGCACCATCTGTATTTTTTTGCGCCACTTTGTGCTGCACTCTCCCGTTGCTTGATTGATTCGGAGTCGCAATGGGCTGAGTGAGAGACATGAGCGATGATGCGTTTGCGGTTGTCGAAGAGCGACTTGATAAATTCCAGATCGTGACTTGATTTACGACCTCGTTGGGAACCCGTTTGCCTCCCTTCCGTTGCCAAAGTGACGTGTATTTTAATGGTTCAGTACGACAAGCGAGGTGCTGTATATAATTAAACCTTGTTCGACGCGAAGTCTGTGATGATCGCCGGTGAGACGATTATTATGTAAGGTCGATCTGAACGGAATTGATTAACCAAAAAGTCGAGCGCACAAGGTGATAAAGTTGCAAAAAAATATACCTACTCGAGAGGGAGAAGCTATATTTCAAAGACCTCGAGAAGCGTAAGACGAGCACCTTCATGGTGCTTATCAAGAGGTATATCCGAAGATACAGACTATACTCAACGTAGAATACATTAAAAATTATTGCAAGGCGTCGAGTTTCACTTGTAATATTATTCATGAACTTCAGACTTCTATTCGATCGCAGTTATAAAGTAGACGTTGAACAAGATGTATGATTGATGCTTAATTCAGTAAGATTCATTTAATTTTTTTTGTTTTGGAATAAAATTGTTATCTATTATTCATTTTCAAATTGATGTAAAGATTTATTAAATCAGAACAATGACGTAATCTTTAAATTAAGTCAATAATTCTGAAATTCGTCAACCTTTTATACCAAGTATATAATTAATGATTAAAACCTCGTGAAATGTGTATGTTCAATTTAAAGTTTAATGAAGAAATTTACCGATCGTTATTACTATGAACCTTAACTTTGATTTTGAAAAATGTATTTTTCAAAGTAAATTCTTTCAGAAATAGCATGAATAAAATATACTAATGTAATATTCAGAAGAGCTATTATTAATGGGCTATTTTTTGAATTTGCCTATTTTCTCAAACAATATTCGCTTTTCTCGCGAAAAGCCCTAATATACTTTTAATGAATGAGTATTAATGAAACTACTTTTTTCATCATTTTAACTTTGTGTGAATAAAAGGTACTTTACCTATTATTTCTTTGAATAGTAATTGAATTATTTCATTTGATATGAATATTTGTATGTGAAGAATATACCATCTGTCTAAATAAAGTCTGAAAGTTGAGTAGAGCACACGTATACATGAAACAGAATATAAATTAGATATCAATGCATATATGGTGTCCCGTAACGTTTTAACCTTTTACCTATCACCTCGTTAATAACCGTGGCGACTGCTACTGTAAATGACTTGACTTGAAATTGTTGATTACAGCGATGAAGTATTGGGAATTCTTTCATAGATGTAAGAGAATCTTATTTTGTTTATACCCGATAACATGTATAGAAATATAGTTTTATTATCTGATAAGAATAAGTTTCTATCGAATAAATTCAAATGAGAAAACTATCGTAAATATATATTCACTTGAATAAACAATGGTATTACGTATAAAAACTTTTCGATCTTCATATCTTAATGAAAAAGTAAAATAGACTTTACAGGCTACTTTGCGAAAGAGCTTTGTGTACACGATGTATACGCGAACTATCGACAAACATGCAGCATTGAAGAATTTGGAGAGAGCGTCAGAGTAGTTTATTGTTTGTAATAGCAGAATAGTGCTCTTCCTCGAATGACGTTCAACCGTCGTACAGGAATACTACTGTAATACTATTTTGATTAAACGTTCAAACCCATTGCGTTTCTCAATTGAAATAGCATCTTCAGTTGGGGCTACGCTTTCCAAACAGCTTAGGGTTTACTTCGATTACTTGCCATTCAAACGACAGAATATCAATGGAATCTAGTTCGTTTGTGTTTACATACAATACAATCTATGGCTTTCAATAATGCTTACTTCAAAATGGATGAAAACAGAAAATGTTACTTTGCAATGTATCTACTTGGTTAAAAGACCGACATTTTTCGCAAACATGGATTCGATTGTTGAAAATATAAGAATAAAAGTGGCGTTCTAGGGTCTTTTTCAAGTGGGCAGTCGTGCAAAAACGAACTGAGCCTGCAGTCCAAACACAGAGACAAATATGCCACGTTTGCACACTTTATGTTACCGCGCGTTGCATGACAAATGCGGGAAAAGATATGTAAACGCACGGTGAGGCGGGAAACGAGAAAAGACGATTTTAATGAGCGCTAGACTTGCGAGTGCGAACCGCGCGGCGCCCTGGAGCAGCTCACTGAATGGAGCTGTTTGTTTTTCGTATGAACGGCTTTTCGAAATGATATATAATCGTTCCGGAAATAAAGTTTCTCTCTCCGCTCTACGTTCACGGATGTTCTCTTCTTCGTCTTCTGGTCTCCTTACACGAAATTCTGAATACTATATATATATATATTTAATTGGGCTTACGCGCGACGTTACTTTTACAACTTACAATATAAAACAGATAAATTTGTCTGCCTTGACACTTTGAGCGTGTCGATAATGTAATCAACCATCGCTGACATCAATTTTAGTCAGAAGAAAATAGAGATCTATATACAGATATATGATTTAATGAGAAGTTAATTCGATATCACACCCTCGATCAATAACAATTAGCCGAAAGCTGTGTAGCCAATAATGAGCTCAGGGTGATTGTATTAGTGGTTTGGCCCCGTGTGTATAAATATCTGAAAGTCATTTTTTACGCAATATCAAGGTTTATTCATATTATTCGAGTAGAGAAAACGATCTAGTTAAAAATTCGCAAAATGCTACGTATAAAATAAAATACAACTTGGTTATCATTTTAATTTTCATCGCCATGCAACAAAGTTGGTGAAAGAGTGAGAAAGTAACACGTGTGGGCGTAGAAAATTGCCGCACAACATGTTGTTCTCTGTGTACGTAGTTGTGGTCAATCGCGATCACGTGCGCGGAGTCGTAGACGCCTGCAGGTACAAAAAGAGAAAGAGCAATGTGCTGTGTAGCGCGCTATAGGCGAATGACTAAATCAAAATCGCCTCGACGATCGAAAGCCGATTAAGGGGCGATGCAGTTATTACTCGGTTGGGGGTCATGCGAGAAAAAGCACTTTTGGCGTGTATGAGTGTGTATGCGCGCGCGTGTGTGCGCGCACAAGTGTGATCGAGTGTGATGACGTCGAGGCATATAGCTATTACGATGGCGTGACCCGATCGTTTTCTTCAAGCCAAAGTTTCTAAGGCTTTTGATTGCTTGGAAGGCACTAGCTGCAGTATAGCTGGAGTTATAACTATAGGGAATTTGCAACTCCTGCTTGTCCGGATATAATTAACATTCAAATGATTTCATAAAAAAATACATGTTTTTTTAATTCCTTTTGTAATATTTTCGGCTAGTCGGTTAATCCGATTGACCGGTTTTCGAATGTTTTGCTAGCTATCTTTTTCAATCTTATCTGATGATTTAATATCGAAAAATTGAATATTCAAATAAAGTCTCTCAAAGTCAACAATAATCTTTAACACAAAGTACGTGACGGTTAGATACAAAGTTTTCTGTTATTTATGTTTTAAAATTGAAACTATTGATCGAAACTCATAATGTAAAACGATATAATATCTCCAAATATAAGAGCAAGTAAAATTCACACGAGCCTTATCGATTATGTTTACAGAATAGGTACATGTACCATGAAAGAAGTAATTGCCATCAAAAATAAAACGACGATAACCCTTGCCAAGCTCAATAGACATGGATGTTACATACGATCGAATTATGAGCTAAGAATAGTTCATCAGGTTCGGACACTCAAGCCTACGTCTATTCATCCTTACTAAGCAAATGTTCTTTTGTCAAAGAAGAGAGGAGGCTGGCGTATATAATATACATGAGTGCATTTCGTTTCCCGAACGATTGTATTGTACGCATCGACGATTCAACTAGGGAGGTTGAGCCGAATGCACGCAAATGCTTTGTATAAGTTGCATGAATGGGAGAATTTTTATGGATTAGAGCTCTGCTACGAATCTTCATTCTGTTAAAAACATTCAGAGCTACATTTTTCTCTTTCGCATACGTTAGTTTGAATGCTCATGTTTATCCGAAGCTTGATGTATTACGAATAAATATGTCACGCTTCGCCACACTGTTATCAGGAAACAAGATTTAACATTCAGTTTTGAAATCCACGAATATTCACTTTCCCGTTTTAACTACATATGCATACCAAATCAAATTTTTCTATTGAAATTAAATATATCTTTTAGCTCGCATGTCGAATAAACAAAAAGATTAAATTCGTCAAAAGCCGTATTAACTGAATATTATTAACTGAAAGATAGAAAGAACATAAAATCTCACACTTACCAGTCTTCGATACATAAAGAAACTGTAAGCGAGACGTTGATTTTATGCCATTACCACGTGCACAACCGCAGAGAACATGCCAAATCTGCAAATACGCACTAGGAAGTTTAATGCAAAAGACAAGCAAACGCTCGGTTGGCCACATCTTTAAATATTGCACGCGCACGCGAACTGTGTTCCGTAAACGTGTACATAAATTGTAACGTTGGATACGTCGGATTCTTGTTACTGAATCCTTAATCTACACGGCACGATGAGAGAGGAATAGAGGGAGGGTGCAATGATAGACGAATAGCAGGAAGCTAGTGAAGGATCTTGACCCTAAACCCCTAATCTCATAAGACGAAGGGAGATTATGGGGAAGGTAAATAGCGTAGGTTGGCGTAGAGTCTACCGCTTTCTCTCTCTCGAAACCCTAATCTGACGAAAGTATGAAGGATTCGCGGTCAAAGAAAAAGTAGAAGAAAAAAAGCCACAGGATGCTATCTTGCTGGATATACGGCACAGCAGATAAAGAGGTATAGCTACCGATTTCGTAGATAATCAAAGGGAAATCAGAGAAAATGCCTTTAAATCAGAATCTTGTTTAACCGTCAGACAGGATAAAAATGTTTTTGGTTCAGGATACGCGTGCGATTGTCCTCTTAACTCTTAAAACATCGTATCTCTACAAATCGTCGTCAATTTAATGATTAACCATATTTTTTTCAAACTTACTAATAGGTACATTTAGATTGTTAGAAATATGACTCCCGAACAGTAGCATTGCTATTTCGATAGTGATAACAAGCGAGCATTTTAGTAATAATTCCATTCAATTTTAATAACGATTCAAAAACATACAAAATCATCAATTAGTTTAGCGGTCAATTTAACAGTAAAATAGACTGCAAATGCAAGCCGATAATCCAATTAGACAACGCTTGATGTAACGGCCGCTACATTGTCACCGCAAACGAACGCGCATGAGGCAAACAAGAGACACTTACCTGTCGACGAGCCAGCAGTGTACATAGCTTGGCATGCCACGTACGTATGGACAGCCTATAGGTATAGAGCAATTGGCTTACACATATACACGCGCGCGCGAGTACATCGAAGCATATCCTTTGGTCTTCCTCCCTACCTACGAAACTATGTGGCTTGAGAGTTACTTGAGCTTAAAGGCATGGCTTAAGCTTTCAACGACAGTCATGAATTGGGAACGTTGAAGACTTGTGGCTTACTTGCGCGCGGCTTCCTAGGACAAAGAGAACCAGCGCGATATTTACAGCTGCTTACTAATTATTTATCAGCGGATGTCCCTTTGACACTTGCGGCCAAGTGATTCTGTTTGTGGCTATGCCGTGCCACTACACTACTACGTACAGAGATGTTGGTTCATGTGGCTGTAGGGTATAGGCGGTACGACGCACGCACGACAGAATCTGCCTGACACAAGATAACCATCGAGTTCAGCTTTTATACATGATGGATCAAACGAACGAGGAAGATTATGTTGCTCTGCTTGCTATGTGTTTGGACGCGATGCGAATAGAGACGAGATCTCCCGAAATTATGTCTACACAATCAAAATATGACGTCCTATTCTACGTATCATATATATCACTTCATGGTGTACACAACCCTTAGGGAAGTACTAGCGTTCTAGAAAATATTTTTTGCTCTGGGTGGAACGCATCTGTGCCATACACTATGTCTTCTTTTTTGAATAGAAAAGGTTAAAGATATCTATAATTTGTAAGTTATTATAAAATTATGTTTGTGTTCAATGAATATTCACGATTTCAGATTGTGGTGTAAAATCGGAAACTTTGCATATAGAACGTCAATATAATTATAATTCTACAACATAAACTGCATTTTTACTATGAAACTGTCATATTTACAAGCCTTTAACTACGCTCGCCCGTTCCGTATAAATGTAGTTGACACAGTTTAAGATTTTCTCAAAATCTGCAACAGCGTATTTGAATTCGTTGTGAACGCAACTACTTCAACATGCCGTGAGAGAATCCGAAACATTTGTGGATTAGCTATAGGATCTTCCTACGTATGACATTATATGATTGCAGTTTTTAATTCAAAATTCCGTTTCCATCCGAAGATAATGTGTGCTCTATATTATATTCTTATGATTATTTTTTCATACAAATAAAAAAAATGGTCCACAACTCTTGTAAAAATTCAATGCAAAAAGTGATTAATCAATTTGTTAATCACTTTGGCAGAATAGCATCCGACGTTCATGAGAAGAATTTTTGTGATGCTTTTGTGCAAATACTGAAACAAAGATGTCGTCAAATTGTAACTAAATATTGTGATGATTTGAGACATTTTTTTCAAAAGTGTATGTGCTGTAACTATTCTTATATAAATCATATATAAATTTTCATTGATGTCAAATGAAAAGAATGTATATTTACATAGGAGATTACTCATTATTACTTTGAATATTGTGTTTTTTTATGATCTTAATGTTATATTCAACAAGTTAAAATAAACATTTCCTTTCTATAGTTTCTTAGAAAAATGTGATCTAATATGCTTTGCAATGAATATACATAAATTACTTCAGAATGCACATGTGTCAATATAAATCTGCCTATTAAATATGATCAGCTTAAGCCTTTGAAAAAAACATATTATAATGTTCAATTTAAACATTTATTGCTTAAATAATTAAATAATCTAATAAGTAGATGCAAAGTATTCAAAATAAATCACACAAGCTTTACATAAATCCTAGCGAAGAAGCAACAAAATATAATGTCGTATTTTTAATTGGAAATGATGTTTCTAAAGCACCTCGATAGAAAGTCTTTGTATAAAAAACTATGATCATAATCACCATTATGATACACCAATAACATTTGAAAATTATTTTTATAATGTAGTCTATTATATACTTATTACTTACGTAAAATTCATTTTTTCATCAAAATAACCAACTAAGAAAGACTGTAGTGAAAGAAGTGGAAAAAATCGTGAAACGATATTATCAAGAAAACGAAAAAAGTAAGCAGAATTATAGGTTGACAATGTACAGATGAACTCGTGAAAATCATAATTTTCGCTATAGCAGTACTTAAATGCTCTATATCTCCGAGGAAATAGGGATGCAGTAGCGTGGCGCCATCAAGTTTCGAAATTGGAAACCATATCGCAAGAGACATACAGATTATTATGCCATTAGGATATACAACGCGGAAAGGGAGAGAAAGAGAGAGAGAGAGAGAGAGTGAGTAGGAGAGCAATGGAAACATGCTCTCGGGATGTAGTTTCGCCTCGCCCGTAAACAAGAATATTATGAAATTTAATTAAAATGTATCCTCCTTTCTCTTTTTTTTTTCTTTTACTCCCACTGTGATGTTTGTTTTTACCTTTATATACTTGACGCCTCCTATTTCCATTAAATCGACAGGTATAATGAGAAATATCTCGAAGGCAACGGTGCGATACAGACTGAATCGTACACGTATATAATGGTTGGAGTAGACATTTCCATTTTAATTAGTCATAATGCGTCATTTCGGCATATCAAACCGCCTTCGTTAGTTTTGTATGATGCATGTCGTATGGCTGTACACGATGTACCGACTTAGTAATGTAATTGCTAATACCGCAGGTGCAGGCGAGTGTTGTAGCAATGAAAAAGCTGAAGTCTGATGCTGCTCTCTGTCAGCAATAAAAGATGAAGTCGAATAATAAGTATGTCGATATTAAAATATAATCTGTAACTGTTGTTAATTATTTGAAAATTTTAAGAATCGCCACAATTGCTGATTTGAATGACGTTGCATCTACAAAATATCGCTATAAAAAGTTTCTATTTGGGAAGTTGCTGTTCTTAAAAGAATAATTATAAGTTATAATGCTCCTATATTAAGATTGTTGTTGCTTAATTTAATAACTTTTTACTGTTTTACTTAAAATCGATAATATACTATCGTGCAATCGAACAAGCCAATTAAAAGGATTAATTTTTCAATTGTAAAATGAGTTCCGATACATTTAAAAAGAACTTAGTAACAATTTTAGGCTTTAAAGAATAGTATACAGATGGCAAAAATCAATATGCTTTAGTGCGACAATTATTTTGTCATTAAATAACCAAATGTATTTTGTTGAATCTCGTATTTTTGTACAGTTTCTATGAGTTTACAGGTAAATAATTTTTAATAAAACAAATAGTTAAAACAAGTGAGTACTGAGGCCTTCCTATTTAAAAAACATTTTTGTAGCCCTTCTGTTTAATAAGTACGCAATCTTAAATTTGCTACATTCTTATTTAAAGAAAAAATCCTTATTAATTTGAGAACTTTTTTTATAGCGTGCGTAAAGATGATTATTTAATTTATTTGGAAATCTCTCCTTGATCGGGGTTTTACAAGAAAACTCCGTAACATGATATCTTGTTTTCTCAACTAAAGTTGGTTCCGAGGTTTATTCATTTAATTAGCGGCCTTCACCATGAAGAACACGTCGTCCACGCTCGTATAGACTTTTTATGCAAATAAACTCCACTCGTCGAATTAGCCATGTCCGCAAAAACTTTCGACATGATATGTCCGAAATGGCTCGAAGCCGTGCGAAAGGAAAAACAGGCGCGCGTGGGTGTGTCGTAAGGTTTTTTTTTCAAGGAGTGTGCGAACAAAACGAACGACACGTAAAGCTGTCGCGCGAATGAGTGTTAAAACCCTGCGGGTAGTTAAATAAAGCCGAAAGAGAGAGAATGAAAGCCGGCCGAGTGGTTTTGGCAAAGTAGAAAAAACAGAAAAGGGAGAGTGAGAAAGACCTCGACGCAAGTTCGTTTGAGGTATAGTAGCGTGGACAAGAGAAGAGACCCTGAGGGCGCGACGTTTCCTTTTCGTGTTGAGTGGGATGTTCGCGTACGGATAAATTGTTCGCACGTGATACCTGCGACTACTAGTTAGCGTGACCGCTGTAGTTATTTATTTCTAATAATTTTCTTTTTTCTGCCCTTACGTACGGTTCACCGGGAAACTTATTACCACGTACCGTTTTTCTCAGAAGTTATTATTGAATAGTTTCGAGATTTGCAATAAAATTGGAACATTATTTACTTTGTGTACATCGTCACTAAACTCATATATAGGCGAGAAAGAATGTGATAGTTACTTATTTTTTTTTAATTCTTGTTGTACAATTAATTATGAAAAAAAATACATTTAAAAAATACTCGTTTCGTGACAAAAGTAATATTCTAAAAGATAAA